CAACACATTACAAGCAATGTTAATAATTAAATGTAATAAATAAGAAGTGAGTGAGAATTTACCAAATTAACTCCTTAAAAGTCAGCCATTTAAAATGCTTAAATCTTTCAAAAATACAGACGTCAAAGATGAAATTAATAACTCTTTATTTTTGATTGCCAACATTGAAGACACCAGATGATAACTTGCAGAATCACTGAAGGCAAGAGAAACACAAGAACCCCGACTGACTTCAGCCACAGACTTAGATGAAATCAACAGAAAAGACATTAAAACTTATGTTACTTAAGTAGTATGAAGCTGCAGACTTGGAGATCTGCATCTACAGTCCCCCACCCAGAGTCCCGCATTCTCAGACGCCTCGTTTTTCAAGACAGCGCCTCATATCAAATTGTTTTGGATAAACATGTGAAGAACTTAAGCTGAAGCGTAAGTATCGTCAATTTTTTTTAGCGAATCGTAGGCTACTCATTCGATTTCTTTTTTAATCAAACTACTTTAAGCTCATCGATGCACCAACATACACTCAAAAAAAATGTATGTTGGCTTTAATTAATTTTATTTCGTCAGCAGGTTCCACATAACTGGATTACGTTAAACAAACATAATTTGTTCATGTAACTTCAACATCATGAAATTAAGTAATTTTAACTGACCCAATTTAAGTAGTCTCAACGTGAATTTTGAATGGCTTCCTGACATGATTCAGGTATTTTTTATATTCATTAATTCATTGATATTTCATTTATTTTAGTGACAAATAATTAAACTGATAGACTATAGCTAGCTATTTGCTAGCAGTAGCACATAGTAAAATCTTAAATGCTAAGTTATCCATGCTCCTTCAACCAAAGCAATAGAAATGGTTCTAATAATTCCAATGTAATTTTACATTAAGCACAATTACACACAATCAAGTCTTCGCCTTTTCTAAATTTCTCAAAAAAAAAAAAAAAAAGAAAAGATAAATAACACTTAATTTTAACATTTATTCTCTCTTAATTCAACCATATGCAAAGCATGCCGGGAACTAACAAGCACCACCCAGTTTCAGTTAAAGCAACACAAATCAATCATGTAATCCAACACAAACGGATTAAGTAAACTTAAATTTTACATTTATTTAAGCAGATTGAACACAATCAAATTAAGTTCGAGCAAAATGGCAGTGGACTCGCACTATACTGTCATCCTCTGGATGTACAACACGTAAAGATTTTGTACTGTTAAGTTGAGACATGATTACATAGACCTTAATAGAAAAAAAACATTTCAAGTCAAAAAACATTTATAAGTAAACTACTTATAAATAGTAAACTATTTGTAAGTAAACTAAATATAAATCTACTTGTATTATGTAAAGTGCACAACCTTCCTAGTTCACTCCATTTAACATTTGTAAAGATAGTTTGTAACAAAATTTGAGCTGTTAATGTATGCTTTCCTGAACAATGTTGTTCCAGACATTCATAATACACAGAAATCAAAAATTAGTATGAATCTCAACAATGGTAACATAATTTATGCCGCAATGCATGCTGGCAGTCATGAGTTTTATACTATGGTGGCTCCCATGATGCATTGCTGCATGAAGCATGTCATCGTTGCTGGGATTCACATGTTGATCCTTGATCATACTAACCTTTAAATAACATTATAGTAACATTCAGAAATTAGACCTATGTATCTATGTATCAACTTTCCTTGATTGTTTAATTTTTCCACTAAAATTAAGTTGAAAGAACTTATTTGGTTGTCTCTCTGATGAAGGTTTGTAGGAGTGTTTCAAATGTTTAAGATGACCAAGCCAAAAAAAGAAAGAAAAAAAGGGTTTTTAATCTTTCTAAAGAGAATTCCTTGGAGATTTTTGCTACATATGATTATCCCATCCAAAGAGCACCTCAAGCAAACATTTTGAGTCCTGGAAGCGTTCCTCAGACATTTGAAAGAACGTTTGAGGAACATTAAACTTTTTAAAACACATTCTTCTAAAGTCCAGAAAACTGGATGTTTTTTACGTTCCCAGAACCAAGACTGAATATCTGGAGAATGTTCTTAACTGGGTTAACCCCTAAATGTACTCTCCTAATGCAATCCCTTGTAATGCTGTGAACTACAGATTCAGAGCTACGTTTCTCAAAGCATTGTGAGCTGAGTTGATCGTAGATACCATTGGTGCCAAAGAGTTTACGATGCCCTGGACAGTGGATCTGTTCCCAGCAAGATGAAAGATTTTGATCCACTTCAAATGTTGACTGCTGTATTTCATTTCAACAAACCCAGAAATTAGACATTAGGCTACCACATGAAGTACATTTTCTAAGTTGACTAAAAAAAAAAAAAAACATTTTAAGAGAATAATCACAATATACGGGCTTTTAGGCTATGTGTTTGTGGCCAAACGATGTGTCCATGATTTTCCAGAGATGAATGGGATTGTTCATTTACAGCTCTCCGGGTATTTCTACACACAGCATTGAGCTTGTACTGCCATCTGCAGTCGGGACAGGACCCAATATAGAAATCAGCACTGACTAAACAGAATTCAACAGTGAATCGTGATTAAAAGTGCTGTATGTAACTTTTTCACTCTACTAAAGCATAAAATACCATAATATGTTTGCATATATTGAGGAAACATGCTAAGTTCACATACTCGTTTCTCTGAAAAAAACATTTCTACTGCCGGTAATTTTACTGTGAAATGTGCATTTCCAGGCTGGAAAGTTTGTTTTTGTTTTGGTCTGTGATACTCTAGTTGCCAATTTGCATTGTTTGCATAATTTCTGTTTGTAGAGATGTTCAATCTTCCCCTGCTGAGATAAATTGAGGGATTTAATGTAGTCTTTTATCATCAGTTCATTTCATCTAAGACTGTGGTTGAAGAAAGTTGTAGTTCTTGTGTTTCTCTTTCCTTATTCAGTGATTCTGCTTATTATCATCATCGTCAGCCGTCTTCAATAATGCTCAATCATCACTTAATTATATTTATGTATATTTGTGGCCATCTCAGATTAAACTTCATGACATTTACCTTTATTCAAGGAAGAAGACCTTTTTTTTTCAGAATTTGAATGTCTGTATGTTTAAGGAAATTTAGCAGTTTTATATAAAACAAAAGGGAAATTATTGTTAAATATTACTGTATTTTCTCATATATTTCTCATATAACAAAATAAATATGTTTTTAATAGGGGTGGGCCGTTATCGGCGTTAACGTGCTGCGTTAACATGAGACTCTTACGGAGCCCCTCTAGTCCCACTTTGGTAAAAAAAATTAATTATAACTATCTTGTGGCCACAAGATAGTAACTCGTGGCCACAAGATAGTAACTCGTGGCCTCAAGATAGTAACTCGTGGCCTCAAGATAGTAACTCGTGGCCACAAGATAGTAACTCGTGGCCTCAAGATAGTAACTCGTGGCCACGAGATAGTAACTCGTGGCCACGAGATAGTAACTCGTGGCCTCAAGATAGTAACTCGTGGCCACAAGATAGTAACTCGTGGCCACAAGATAGTAACTCGTGGCCTCAAGATAGTAACTCGTGGCCTCAAGATAGTAACTCGTGGCCACAAGATAGTAACTCGTGGCCACAAGATAGTAACTCGTGGCCTCAAGATAGTAACTCGTGGCCTCAAGATAGTAACTCGTGGCCACGAGATACTAACTCGTGGCCTTGAGATAGTAACTCGTGGCCTCAAGATACTAACTCTATCTTGAGGCCACGAGTTACTATCTTGTGGCCACCAGTTACTATCTTGAGGCCACGAGTTACTATCTTGAGGCCACGAGTTACTATCTTGAGGCCACGAGTTACTATCTTGTGGCCACGAGTTACTATCTTGTGGCCACGAGTTACTATCTTGAGGCCACGAGTTACTATCTTGAGGCCACGAGTTACTATCTTGAGGCCACGAGTTACTATCTTGTGGCCACCAGTTACTATCTTGAGGCCACGAGTTACTATCTCGTGGCCACGAGTTAGTATCTCGTGGCCACGAGTTAGTATATGTTCTGGTCTTTTCAAGATCGGATACAGAAAACGTATGAAGTGATTTCAGAGCATCCGTTAACTGAATTAATTGAGAATCTCACCTGAAAATCTAATAACATCAGCAATTGTCATTCAAGCAGCTGATTTCAGTATTAGGCTATGCATTATATGCATTCATCAGATATTTCATCCCACTCTATTTATTTGTATTGTAAGAAAAAGAGCTTCCCGGACACTACAAAATAATTCATTTCGTGTTACATAGAAGAAAAGTAGATCAAATGGGTTTAGAATTACAAAAGAAATCCTTATGAAAAAAAAAACAACAACAACAAAAATGATTTAGTTATTATTTCGTGCTATTTAAAACTAGGGTTGACAATAGAAAAAAATAATTATGATTACTTTCATTATTTATAATAATATGAACATTCCAGTGTTAAATCTTGTATAAAACATATTAAGGCCTAATTACAAACTACCTGCGAGGTTATTTATTTGGGTATAGCACACGCCTTTGGTAGAATTCAAATGAGCCATTTTAATCTAGATTAATCTAGATTAATTTCAAAATTAATCTAGATTAATCTAGATTAAAAAAATAATCTATGCCCACCTCTAGTTTTTACAGTTATTAACTTAATTGTAGTTAATCTCACACATACAAACTAGTTAACTGTAACTGAAAGTTTACTGCTCAATGTAAACTTAAATGTATCATTTTATAAACTAAAAAGGGGGCCAATTCTGTCCAGAGAATTACTGAAATAGTACACTTTCAAGTGTATGTGTAAATCTCCAACATAAAACAATACATCTCCTAGTTTATATCCTTCATTAATGATAGTTAATGAAATTCCTCAAATACATTTGTAAATGAATATGTACAATCTACTTGTCTAAAAAAAAAGTAAAGTTTTAAATACAATATGAAATCAAATTCACAGACACATCCAGAAATAGTGTAGATCCAAATCACCATTGAAAATAGTGCAACAATCAAATCAGTAATAATAATAAGAAGAATAATATGTGTAGTTTTCATGATCATCCAGCAAATCTTCATTGTCCCAGATATTCCTCTTTGTTTCTTTGCAAATCCCTGTATTTGTGACAATGATAACAATGATGACATAAATAATGTCAATGAACAAAAAAAAACAGAAGCAGATTTTGTCCAAGCGGTCAACAAACGCCTCGTTGCTCTTTGCCACTTGCTCTTTTTGGTCAATGTTTTCCAAAAAGTTCACAATTTTTTGGAGGGAAGCCACCTCTGAAAGCAGATCGCTGGATTTTGTTGTAGTAATCACACCAAGATCTGCTAATGGAGACACCACACACACACACACACACACAACACATATATTATATATACATCAGTGGTGTAGTCTAGTTTTTTGTATTGAATATAAAAATGATGTTGAATGAAAACTTATAATATTCATTTAAAATTATGTTTTATAAATTTGATTATTGTTATTTTAAAAAGTACATCTTACTGTGCAATTTCTTTCATAATTTCTTCGAGTTATTACTTTCTCTCTCTAGTGTTGTTTTTGGCGGCCTGTTTTAATTTTAGTTTTAGTCTAGTCTTTGTGTCAAGCTGACATTTTAGTTTTTGTTAGTTTTAGTCACCTTCATACTCTTTTTAGTCTAGTCTAGTTTTAGTCGACGAAAACTGATGACATTTTAGTCTAGTTTTAGTCGACGAAAACCGATGACATTTTAGTCTAGTTTTATTCAATGAAAATTGTATTTTAGTCTCTTTTTAGTAGGCAATTCTATTTAACCCAGTCAATGTATAAGAAGCCTACCTATTAATAGGCTAGCCTATACGAAACCATTTTTTTTTCTTATAGTTATCTTCTTATATTATTGTTAGCTTATAGACTCAAGAATACATCCAGGAAGACGCTCTGAATTTAATTTACAACATATTTATTTTACCAACCAAACATGTTAGTAGCCTACACACATGATGAAATGAAAGTTTTTCCAAATGTCATTTCTTCTTTTTCTCCCAAAGATGAATCCCTTTCTCTCTGTCAGACTTAACTTTGTTTGTTGTTTGAAACAGCTGTAACTCACGCAACTGCTTCTTCTAAATAATGCCGCGAGTGGGGCTCGAGGATCTGAAGTCGCATGCGTTTGCACAGTGCGATCTAATGCAGCCCCTGAAGTGACACAGGAAACAGAAATGCTGCATACTAATAATGCAAGTAGGCTAAGCGAGACGAAATAACGTTAAATAACATTTCGTCTCGTCTCGTTTTGGTCAATGAAAATGAAGAGACATTTTAGCATAGTTTTTATTTTTGTAAACCACATTTAGTCTCGTTTTTATTCGTCAACGATATTGCATTATACATTTAGTTATAGTCATCGTCACACGACCAGCATTTACGTTGCGTCTCGTATCGTTTTCGTCACGTGATAAAGGTTTGTTATGATGATATTTCGTCATAATTTTCATTGACGAAAGCAACACTATCTATAACAACATACCAAAAATAAGAGGCCAACTAAAGCAAACACTGATCTCCATAATGGTAACCAATTACGATTTTCTCCTTCAGAGATTCTGATGTTACGGTGACTTCAAATGAAACACAGAGTTAAACCTCTGTTAATTCTCAATAAAATCTTCTGTAGAAGTCTGACAGAAATAAAGTCAGTCTGGGTTAGTAATAAGTGAAGCTGGTAATGCTGTTTGTGGAGTTGTTTAATCCTCCTCTGCTGAGATCTTCAGATTTAATGTCTTCTTTTCTCTTCAGGTGATTTCATCAAAGACTGTGTCTGTAGTTCTTGTTCTGCTCGTCTCTTTTTCTATTCTCTTCTTTCCTTCAGTGATTCTGTTTGTTAACAGGCTTATTAAGGTTGAGATGACTCCATGTTTAATACACACAGATTTTGTGGCTCAGATAAAGTCCAGTTGTGGTTTATTCCTTTGCTGCTCTTGGCTGACATGTGGCATTGCTATGGCCTGCTTGTGGCCCAGATCTGGCAAACAGGAGTGGGCCACCCAAGGGCCGTCATTCCATGCTGCATGTGGGCCAGATCTGCATCCCACAAGTGCCAGATGTGGGCCGGATCTGGGCCGAAACAATGTTGCTATCTGGGACCGGCCTCAAAATGCTTTGGGATAATTGCCTGTTCTCTGTGAATGAGTGCTCACAGTTTATTTCAATAGCAGTCTTTTTGAGCTTTAATATTCATAGAGATAGACATATCGAGATTTGATTCGTTGTACATCCCTTCTTTTGATTTATTCATTCAAGAATGTCCAAATTCTGTGACATTCCGCTTTACAGTAGGCTAATTTACATTTGTGAGTGGATTCCGCGATCTGATCCGTGCCGCTGCTCAAACACAGACGGGGTGAATTTATGAATGAAAGTTTGAAAGTTCTGTCACAAAACGATGTAGTTATGAATCCTCACGATTTTTTAATTGGGTATGCAGAAATCCTTGACTAGTGGGTATATGGCGTATACCTGCGTATCACGTAGACTACCACTGATATAAATGCATAAACACACAAGCTATTTATTCTTTATGTTTGCTGTATTTAGTATTCTCTTACCTTCATCCTGACCAAGGCTGGCAGTTGTTTGGGGGGTTTTGATGTTTTTTGAAGGCAGAAATCTGTTATCCATTGTCAGACGTGTCAACACAATAGACACCACCATGCTCAACACCAGATTGACCAGACAGAAGCAGAAGTGATAATCTTTGGAACAAAATCCAGAGCAAACAATAATTTACCTATGCAGAGCATAATTGTAGATGAATAAAAAAATAAACTGTACAGTATTATAAGTTATGTAAAAATCAGTGTCACATCAGCAAACCCCTGGGGTACCTCAGGGTTCAGTGCTTGGGACCCTTCTCTTTTCAATATACATGTAGCACATAAGACCTATCATCTGTTCACAAAGTTCTTCTTACCACTGCTATGCTAACAACAGTACCACCACTGATTCCAGAGTGCACACATTTATGAACGCCTTTATGAAACAAGACAAAGTTCCTCATCGTTCCAACAGCAAAATCCCCAATGTTTATTCAACACTGCTCAGAGTACAACACTCTACAGAGTGTTAAAGTAACACTAAAGCAGTGTTAGAGAGTTTACAACATAATAAGGGGAAAAAAGACTAAAAGTTGTATGTTATTTATAGTTTTTTTTTCAACAACATTCATTTTTGTTTATACAGATAAGACATCAAGTTGTTTTTTTTATTAATATTTAATATTTGGAAATTATTCTTTGGACACACACAGACATCAAGAATCCCCATATGAATCTCAACAATGATTAAATGCTTTATGCCCCAATGCATTCTGGGAGGCACCATAGTTTAAAAGCCTTGGCTCCCAGCATCCATTGTAGCATAAAGCATGTCACCATTGTTGAGATTCATATACTGATTCTTGACATGTATGTAAAAATTCCTAATGTCTACTCTGTGTCCAGAAAGGTTTAAGTTATTTATTAAAACAACTTTTAGTTAGGGATAATATTAGATAACCATTCTATTTTTATTATGAAAACTACTTCACCTGAACACCTTTGTTTATTGTTTCCTTTGCAATAATAGAAATAAAAATGTATATTTTTGTGCATTTATTTAAAGACGGCATGTACCCGTATTTCACGCACTATAAGGCGCACTTAAAAGCCTTCAATTTTCTCAAAAACGACAGTGCGCTTTATAATCCGGGGCGCCATATGGATCAATTGGTTAATATGAGCTAACTCGCGCTCGTGTCATCTTATGCCCGCTCTGCACGGCCAGTTCAACCTCATATAATCAATAATCAAACCACTGTTCCAGGCGCTGCTCGCGCGTCACAGAATGTTTATAAAGCGCTCAACGCAGTTTGCTTCGCGCTCCACTCAAATCGCCCCCCCCCCCACCCCCGCTCGCTCCAAAAACGAAAAAAATTGGCACGTATTTGTATTTCACTTTTGGGTTAGACCACAGCCTTACCTTACAAAGAACTAAACAAAGACCAACAACAACATTTTCCAAACAGAAATGTTTCATTTCAAATTACAAATTAGGACTAGCAAGAACAGGAATGTAGCATACACAAAAAGTCCTGTAAATTAAACGAATAAATGGGCCTAATAATATGAATAAAAAGTATACAAACAAAAATATACATAAAAGTTTTAAAAGTAAATTAACTATAGGCCAGAATTTTGATAACTGAACTTTTGCCCAACGCACACAATAAAAATGTAAATGGGCTTATAACCATTGTACACACAAACTGCTGTAAAATTAAACTAATAAATAGGCCTAATAATATAACTAAAATAAAAATATGAACAAAAATGTAAAAATATATATGTGCCTACATAAATGTTTAAAAGTAGCTAGGCTAATTACTGTAATTATTAGGCCAGATTTTGATAAGCCTAACTGATTTTTGCGCAGCGCGCACAATTAAAATTTAAATTGGCTTAGGCCTATATCATCTGTACACAAAAAAAAAAAAAAACCTGTAAAATTAAACGAATCAATGGGCCTAATTATATATAAAAATCATCGACATCAACATCAATGTGTTAAATTAAATAAAATTTGGTAACTATTAGGCCACCAGACGCCTCTAACTGAACTTTTGCGCAGAGAGCATGTGGATGACAGTTTAAATTGTCTCAAACTTAAAAAAAAAGAAAAAAAAAAGAATTGCTTTCCTTATCTAGCCTACAGTTCTTTTGAGTTCACCTTCAAGAACACGAGTTTGGACAATGTCTGAGGCTTCACATGTGGTGGTTTCTTGAAAGCAGGCCAGCAGCGGAGAAAACCCTCTCTGCGCTCGCAGACTCGCTTGGGGATGCTGAATACAATGCAAGCACCTTTAGTCAGGCGGGGAAAAGACGTGGAGTTCCCTTTCGTAGTCACTTCGAGTTACGTCAGAAGTGACGGAGATTGGGGGTTTCGCATAGAAAGCCAATCCTCTTCGAGTATTTAAACACGAGCCAATGGCATGCAATGCCTTGGGGCTGCGGAAATTTGCATAGCGTACTCCGCCCTACTCCGTGAGTATAAAAGGAGGAAGTGAACGCAACCGCAGTATGTTTTCGCTTCGGAGCCAAGAGAACCTCTTCACTCCTAAAAGCTGATTCAAGACTCTTCGAGAACGAGCGTCCTCTTCAGTGTTGGTGTGACGGCGGTACCCAGCGAGATTTTGCATTGCCTGCGATCTGAGCAGTGGTCTGCCAGACTTTGCACTTCTCCCTGGTAGCTTCAGCGCTGAAAGAGTGAATTTCTCCTTTCTCATAAAAGTGAAAGTGAAAGAGCTGCACGCGGCACGTCTTTTTAAAGATGGTTCGCCCGTGTTCTTCTGGATGTGGTAGATTTCTGTCATCATCTGATGGTCACGAACGCTGCTTTGTATGCCTGGGCATTCAGCATGCAGCAGCAGCGTTCGTGGATGACTCATGTTCCTTCTGTGGGAGCATGACCATCTCCACACTGAGGTCGAGGCTCAATGATCTCACTAGAGTGAGAGCCCCGGTCCCCCCTACTCGATCGGCTTCCTTCACGGAAGGGGGCCCGTCGACCCGGGGACCCGGCGATCTAAAGGTGACGGTGTGGGATAAAGCCCCGACGATTCCTCGGGCCACACCTCCCGCCTCAGTGCGTGAGCCAGCGAGCGCTAGCGCGACTCGGTCGGTTGTCTCTTCGGCGGCACCGGCTGCTTCTAGCAGCGCTCCAGATGATGATGTGATGTCTATCACAGCATCACTAGGCGGGCTTGAGTCCTCGGGAGAGGAAGATGCGGCTGCGTTGCCCCCTTCGGGAGTGCCAGCGTTGCCCGTGTCAGATCCCGAGCTGACGGCCATGCTGTCTCGAGCCGCTGGGAGTATCGGGCTAGAATGGAAACCTCCATCCTGCCCCGATCTCTCGCGGATGGATAATTGGTATCTGGACAAAGCTGCCGCCGCAAGGCCACGGCCAACTCCAATACCTTTTTTCCCCGAGCTGCATGCGGAGTTATCGCGCTCTTGGGGGGCTCCTTTGTCCACTCGAGAGCGCGATCTCTCCCCCGCCTTTCCCCCCCTCGACGGTGGGGCCGCCCGTGGGTACACTGGGATGCCCCCGGTGGAGCGCTCTGTTGCGATGCAGCTGTGTCCACAGAGCGCCTCCACCCGTGGTCCTCCTAAGCACCCATCCAAAGCCTGTGGGTTCTCGTCTGCTATGGCGGCGCGAGCCTATAGAGCGGCGGGACAGGCGGCTTCCGCTTTGCATGCCATGAGCACTTTGCAGGTCTTCCAAGCGAAGATGCTCAGAGACATGCACGAGGGCGGGACTGACTCGACGGCGTTTAAAGATTTGCGGTCCGCCACTGACCTTGCTCTCTGGGCAACGAAAGTGGCCGCTCGCGCCGTCGGTCAGGTGATGGCCACTTCGGTGGTTCAGGAGCGACATCTCTGGCTCAACCTGGCAGACACGCGGAGCGCTGAGCGGACTCGTCTGCTCGACGCTCCGCTCTCCCAGGTTGGCCTTTTCGGCGGTGCGGTCGAGGACTTCGCCCAGCAGTTCTCCACCGCCCAGAAGCAGACGGAGGCCATTAAACACATCCTGCCCCGGCGACCAGCTGCTGCCTCCACCCAGTCATCGGCGCAGGTGCCTCCCTCTGCTCGCCGCCGAGGACGCCCCCCTGCGGCTCCCCTCCCTCCCGCCCGGCCCCAGCAGCAGCCTTCACCCGGGCCCCGGCGTCGAGGAGGCCGCAGGCCGGCGTCTCAGCCCCCTCAGGCCGCTCGCCCCGCTAAACGCCAGGCCAAGCGAAGATCCTGACACGGGCCGCTCAGTGACGATCTCGAGTCTTTCTCAGGAGGCGGTAGCAGGCCCCCTCCTTCCCCCGGTGGAGGGCCGGGGAAGAATCTTTTGTTCTCAGCTCCCCGCTGCTCACCCACGGGTGGGCAGCACCCTGAACTGGTTAAAGAAAGACTTGACATCCTCACTGAGCTCACAGACTGGAGTGGGTGCGCTCGATGCCCCCGTGCGTCAGCCCACACACTCCTCTCTGTCTCTGAGGGCGCGGAAGGGTGCGTGTGTCGTCCCCGGGCTACACCAATCCCTTCCCCCTCTGTCGCCAGACCCCCGGCAGAACAGACCCCCGTGGAACGCTCCGCTTTCCCTGGTCCCGTCCGTCGGGGAGCGGGCTTCGACGCATCCGAGCGGGGTAACCCCTGCACGCGTGCCAGTCGACCCGCACCGCTGCCCCTCCGGGGGGACGTCTGTGGTTCGCATGACCCCGTTGGCTCATTTCCTGGAAGCCTGGCTAGCGCTTCCCGGGATATCCCGCTGGGTCATCAGAACGATCAGATTCGGCTACGCGATTCAGTTCGCACGGTCTCCTCCCCGCTTCAGGGGAGTTCGCTCCACAATAGTTGGTGGCAATGCCCCAGTCCTGAGAGCGGAGATTGCGACCCTGCTGGCGAAGGGTGCAATCGAGACGGTCCCTCCAGCCGAGGTGAAGTCCGGGTTTTACAGCCCCTACTTCATTGTCCCCAAGAAGACCGGTGGGTTACGACCGATCCTGGACCTGCGCATTTTGAACCGTTCTCTCCATCGACTACCGTTCAAAATGCTCACGGCCAAACGCATTTTCGAATGTGTTCGGTATCAGGATTGGTTTGCAGCGATCGACCTGAAGGACGCGTACTTCCATGTGTCCATCTTACCTCGACACAGACCGTTTCTTCGGTTTGCCTTCGAGGGCCAGGCATATCAGTACGCCGTTCTCCCATTCGGGTTAGCTCTGTCCCCTCGCGTCTTCACGAAGATCGTCGAGGCAGCCCTTGTTCCCCTTCGCGAACACGGGGTTCGCATCCTGAATTATCTCGACGACTGGCTAATACTAGCACACTCTCGAGCTCAGCTTTGCGAACACAGAGACTTGGTGCTCCGGCACCTAGCCCGTTTGGGCCTTCGGGTCAACCGGGAGAAGAGCAAACTTTGCCCCGTGCAGAGGATCTCTTTTCTCGGCATGGAGATAGACTCGGTCGCCATGTCCGCGCAGCTCACGAACGAGCGCGCGCACTCACTGCTGACTTGTCTTCGACAGTTCGAGGGCAAGAGTGCGGTTCCACTGAAACTATTTCAGAGGCTCCTGGGGCATATGGCATCCGCGGCCGCGGCAACGCCGCTCGGTTTGCTTCATATGAGACCGCTTCAGCTGTGGCTTCGCGATCGAGTCCCGAGGTGGGCATGGCATCGCGGCTCGCTCCGAGTTCCAGTGACTCCAGCGTGCCGCCGAACCTTCTTCCCGTGGTCGAACCTCAGCTTCTTACGGACCGGCGTCCCTATTCAGCGAGTTTCCAGGCATCTCGTTGTCTCCACGGATGCATCTACCACGGGTTGGGGTGCCATGTGCAATGGGCATGCAGCCGCCGGTTCCTGGACAGGAGCCCAGCGCCTCATGCACATCAATTGCCTCGAGCTGTTGGCAGTACGGCTCGCCCTACGCCGCTTCCGAGCGTTGCTCAAGGGCCAGCATGTGCTTGTCCGCTCAGACAACACGACGGCAGTAGCGTACATCAACCACCAGGGGGGTCTACGCTCACGCCAGTTGTCGCAGCTCGCCCGCCACCTCTTGATATGGAGTCAGAAGCACCTGAGGTCCCTTCGTGCAGTTTACATTCCTGGAGACCGGAACTGGGCAGCCGACGAGCTGTCCCGGGTCCGCCCCATCTCCGGCGAATGGCGACTCCATCCCCAGTCGGTCCAGCTGATTTGGGACGAGTTCGGGGAGGTACAGATAGACCTGTTCGCCTCTCGGGACTCGTCCCACTGCGCCCAGTTTTATTCTCTGACCCGCGGCACTCTCGGCTCGGATGCGCTGGCGCACAGCTGGCCACGGGGCCCACGCAAGTATGCGTTTCCCCCAGTGAGCCTCCTTGCACGGGTGTTGTGCAAGATCAAGGAGGACGAGGAGCAGGTCTTGCTGGTAGCCCCCTACTGGCCCACCAAGACGTGGTTCTCCGATCTCATGCTCCTCGCGACAGCACCTCCTTGGCCTATTCCTCTGAGACAAGACCTACTCTCTCAGAGACGGGGCACTCTGTGGCACCCTCGTCCCGATCTTTGGAGGCTGCACGTGTGGCTCCTGGACGGGACGAGGCAGGTTTGAGTTCGCTGCCACCTGCGGTGGCGGCAACCATCACTTCCGCAAGAGCGTCGTCCACGAGACACCTTTATGCGTTGAAGTGGAACCTCTTCGTCAATTGGTGCTCTTCTCGCGGAGAAGACCCCCGGAGATGTTCGATCAGTGTCGTGCTTTCCTTCCTGCAAGAAGGGTTGGAGCGCAGGCTGTCGCCCTCCACCCTTAAGGTTTACGTCGCGGCCATTGCCGCTTCTCATGAAGCAGTGGAAGGTAAGTCCTTAGGGAAGCACGACTTGGTCATCAGGTTCCTGAGGGGAGCGAGGAGGCTGCATCCGCCTCGTCCTCCCCTCGTACCCTCTTGGGACCTCTCGGTAGTTTTAAGTGCTCTGCAGAGGCATCCCTTTGAGCCTTTGCAATCGGTAGAGTTAAAGTTTCTGTCCATGAAGACAGCACTCCTGGTTGCATTGGCCTCCATCAAGAGGGTGGGGGACCTGCACGCATTCTCCGTTGACGAAGCGTGCCTGGAGTTCGGGCCGGCTTACTCTCACGTGATCCTGAGACCCCGGCCTGGATATGTGCCCAAGGTTCCCACCACTCCCTTCCGGGACCAGGTGGTGAACCTGCAAGCGCTGCCCCCGGAGGAGGCAGACCCAGCCTTGGCACTGCTCTGTCCGGTACGTGCTCTCCGCACCTATGTCGACAGAACGCAGTGTTTCAGGACCTCAGACCAGCTCTTTGTCTGTCATGGGGGAGCCAGAAGGGAAGGGCTCTCTCAAAGCAACGGCTGTCCCACTGGATAGTGGATGCCATTGCTTTGTCTTACCAGCAGCAAGGCCTTCCGTGCCCCCTTGGTGTGACGGCCCATTCCACTCGGAGTGTAGCCTCCTCTTGGGCTTTAGCGCACGGCGCCTCGCTAACAGACATCTGCAGAGCTGCAGGCTGGGCGACACCCAACACCTTCGCCAGATTCTATAATCTGCGAATTGAGCCGGTATCCTCTCACGTACTCGTTTCGGCCAGTTCTGGATCCGCTCAGGTGTCTTCGCTTGCTCGCCACTCCACTCCCCGGACTGGATAAGTGCGATATTTCCTCAGTTCTTCCATTGAAGTCTTGAGTCCTCCAGCACCGACGATGCGGGCACCACTGCGTTGCTCTGGATGCTAGCTAGGTGCCTCCATGCGCACGGTTCCCCATGGTAACCGTCTCATGTGTATTATCCACTGTAAGCCTCTCTGAGCATGTGTCTTCCCTTGGCAAGCCATCTGCCACCCCTGGAGTTTAAATCAGTAGCCACCTGCGGTTGGTACTCCAGTGTTCCATATGCGTTCCTATGTGGCCATATGTGTATTCGTAAGTCCTCCCTTCGGTAGGCAGCTGGTTGCATGTCCCCTTCGGGATATGTTTCCCAGTGTACCTTGGTAATCCTGTGTCAAAGTCGGATCCCCAAAAAAAAAAAAAAAAAAAGAGGTAAGGCTCGGGGGTTCAGTCTTTCGCAGGGCACTGGAAGACAGCTTGAAGATGGCGTGATGGCACAGACCCCCAATCTCCGTCACTTCTGACGTAACTCGAAGTGACTACGAAAGGGAACGTCTCGGTTACGTATGTAACCCTCGTTCCCTGAGTAGGGAACGGAGACGTTACGTCTCCCTGCCACTTCTGCTGTATCGCTGGGTAGATGCCGAGTTCAGTCTTGGCTCCTCAGCGAAGACATACTGCGGTTGCGTTCACTTCCTCCTTTTATACTCACGGAGTAGGGCGGAGTACGCTATGCAAATTTCCACAGCCCCAAGGCATTGCATGCCATTGGCTCGTGTTTAAATACTCGAAGAGGATTGCCTTTCTATGCGAAACCCCCAATCTCCGTCACTTCTGACGTAACGTCTCCGTTCCCTACTCAGGGAACGAGGGTTACATACGTAACCGAGACGTTTTCTCTTGGTGTGAGCGGACCGGAACGGGAAATAGGGTGCTCATGTTTTCCGTCTATTTGAAAGTTATGCTAATAAACATGTTGCATTGTATACGGCCTGATTATGTCGTTTTTTAAGTTACATAGCCTGCCTCCAGTTTTCCTCAACTTGACTAATTAAGAGGCGATATTTGACCGGCATATCATCAAAATGTCCGTTAAACTAAACCTCTGCCGGTCACTTTGACCGGCACCATTTTTTTCTAGCGGAAACTCTGATATATATTTAAAGAGTAAATTCTCATAATTGTTTACATCTCACAATTCTGACTTTTTTATCTCAGAATTGCGTGATATAAAGTCGCAATTGGGTGTTATAAATTCAGAATTACAATAAATAAACTCGTAATTCAGACTTTTTTCCTTGTAATTGTGAGATCTAAACTAGCAATTGTGATTATAAAGTTAAATTTAACTAATTGTGCTCACCTGGTCCGCGTGTGCTTTCCTCACTATGTTTTCTTCCCACATATCTCGTTTTGTGCCACATATACGTAGATGGTTTGTTGAGCTACATGCTATAGACCATTTCACAAGATGTAAACAACACTGGTCCAGAAGCACTTCCTGTTTCAGTTTTTTAACACTACATAAAAGCTGGGATAAAATACAACCAACAGAACATTTAAAACTGAATCAAAAAGTTAAACAAACATCTTTAAGATGTTTTCTTTACATGTGAAATAAAGAAAACCGTTACAAACTTAAACAGGAAGTGCTTCTGGACCAGTGTTGTTTACATCTTGTGTACACCATTTGGTCTATAGACATTTTTGCAAGATGTAAACAACACTGGTCCAGAAACACTCCCTGTTTCAGTTTGTAACTGTTTTCTTTATTTCACATGTAAAGAAAAAAATCTTAAAGATGTTTGTTTAACTTTTTGATTCAGTTTCATACGTTCTGTTGGTTGTATTTTATCCCAGCTTTTATGTAGTGTTAAAAAACTGAAACAGGAAGTGCTTCTGGAGCAGTGTTGTTTACATCTTGCAAAATGGTCTATAGTCGTGTCTAACTCTTTGTTGCAGTTACCTGTCTATCCCTGGTAAAGTTTTGCTCTTTTTTCTCTTTCAATTTGTTTATTCTAGGATAATTTAGCATTTGTAGTAACTTTAACCATCCTAAATGTGTCCTAGACAGCAATAAAATGTTACTTCTGTTGTACTGCATCACAATATGACTGTTACCCAGGGCACTAACATGTGTGCAATAGGCCTGTCGTTTTGTTCTTTTACTTACGAAGGATAGGGCTACATTGTCCACCACTGCTTAGGTGATCATTGAGGATGAGGAGGAACATGGTGAAACTCAGGACTAAGGTGACCTTAAGGCTGTTGCGTTCTCCTCCTTGAACGGGCAGAGAAAAGGTCACCAGGTCAGCCAGCATTATTAACACACTGGGCAGGATCAGGGTCACAACAGCACTGAAAGGACTGATGGATAAAGAGACCTGTTAACAGACAGGAGAAAGAATACATATCAGTTTAATATTTATGTCTTCACTACACAGATGAACACCAATATTCTTTAAGAATGTGGTCCTTCTCTGCCTTTTAGTACATGGTAGCGCAGTCAACATTTTTAATTGTATACATATGTATAATATTTGTTCAAAACATTTAAAGGTCCCCTTACATGGGGTTATTTTATTATTTTACAATGTTTCCCTTATAATGCTAGTATGTTTTTTTACCTTGAGTTTTTTTTTTTACCTAGACCTAGTTTTTTACACTATAGACTCCCTAAATTCAAAATTAGGCTGCATAGTTTAGATCAGCCGGAACCAGGAAAACGTGCGTTCTAAACTACTTAGAACAATATCCAAGGCTGCATCGAAAGGTAACTTCGCATCTGCTGCCATGTTGGATCCATAAGTATAAACAAACTGCTTTGGTGTGTCGCATAGACGTCGCCATCATCTTGCTGCTCCATCCCCGTTCTGTGATTGGTCCCCTCGCTGAGGTGAAATTTTGGTCCATCGTATCCAGACTGCCTAGCACCGTGAATAAAATCGTGCTGCGCAAATGCAGTATGGGGAAACCCAGGCTAAGTAAAAGCAAGAATCAGAATGAAGTCAATAGTTACCAAGAGACAGGTGCGGTTTTCAGGTGTTTCTTGTGGTATTGTCACATTCACAGTTTTCCACTCTCCTTGAATGCTGTTAATCACAGATATGTTTGTAAATGGATTCACAGTAAGCCCACAACCTAAAACAACACAAACCAAAGAACATTTAGCTGCTAAGCAGTTATTTAGATATATTTTCCATGTTTTCTATGTTAAATGTGGCAACATTTGATCATTTATTCTGGAAGAATGGTTAAGAACAAATGATTAACTTAATCAACTCTTCACTTAAAATGTCATCTTACCTCTTTGGCTCCATCCATTGATCGCCACACAACAATCGCCATTCACAAAGGGATAGGTGAAAAGGCTGATATCATCACAGCCCACTGCTATGTACAAGATAAGGGCATAGTCCACATTTCCATACTTCGACACCAGTACATCATTTGTGTACGGCTTCATGGTTACATCTATCCTGAAAGATAGAGAACATGTCATCCAGCTGAACCATTCAAGAAAGGAACCATCCAGTGAAGATTTTAATTAACCAAGCTATCTTATTTTGTTTAGGTTCAACTGTCCTCATGTCCAGTTAATTTATATATACTCATATTCTTCATGGTGACAGTTATTTTTATAGCAGTTGTGTCACTGGCAATGCAGGCACTATGCAGTTAGGGACAGTGTTATGATTAAGTTATCTTTAATTAGTTCACCCAAAATGTTCCACATACTGTGGAACACAATAGAAGATGTTTTGAAATTATGATTTGTATTTTGGATGATAACTGTTTTTTTGTGGGGGTTTTTTTTGCAACAAAATTTCATTAGATGCTTATAGGTTTGGAACAACAAAAACTGTACTTAGAAATTCGCACAGCCAAACGGCAGTTGTGCAGTTTGTATTCACAGATCCATAAAAAAAAAAAAAAAATCTGTCCAACAAATTGATTTTGACTGTTTCAGAGACACTAAACATAAAAAGCACACCAGACTAAAAAAAAAAAAAAATGATATGTTGGCTTTAATTAACTTTTTATGTTAACAGGTAACATAAATGGACTTTTTTATGTCAACATGTTCCACATAGCTGGGTTACTTTAACCAAACATAATTTGTTCATGTAACTTCAACATCATGGAATAAGTCATTTTAAGTGACCCAATTACAATCTGAGCAGAGTGTTAAATGAACACTGAAGCAGTGTTAAAGCTAATGAGATAATTAAAGGACAAGTTCGGTATTTTCCCAGCTAACAGAATTTTGTTATCAGAACATTCTCTAAATATTCAGTGTTGGTTATTGGAACGTGAAAAATGTCCAGTTTTCTTGAGGAACTTGTTTTAAAAGGTATAATGTTCCTCAAACGTTCATTAAACGTAATTTTCGATTAAAAATTCAACATGATAGTGATGTTGATTTCTAACATTCCAAGAACATAAAAATGTCCAGTTTCCTAAATGTTACTACACAGCAAAAACTCGAGTGTTAAAGACTCAAGAGTGTTAAAGTGTTAAAATTTGAGTGTTAAATAAACACTGAAGAGCGTTAAAGTTAATGTGCTATTTAAGTTATTGATTGAGTGATGACTGAGCATTATTGAAGACACCTGATGATAACAAGCAGAGTCACTGAAGAAGAAAATTCAAAATTTAGTCACCATTATGGAGATCAGTGTTTGGTTTAGATGGGCAGTTGACCTTTGCATGTTTAACTTAAGAGTTTGTTTGGCTGCCATACATGAGTTATGATCGCCAGATGAACAAAAAAATAAAGTGCTCTGATGGTGTTGTTTGTGTTCTGACATAATTGTTATTTCACAATCATATGACCTAAATCACTGAACTCAAGCAGTCCTAATCTCTGATTAGAATGTATATTGGTCACTACAGAATCAAACTGATTTAACAGCATAAACTCCAGATATTTCAATATAATCCAAAAGATTTCTTTAAAATTGTTCTGATCAAAAGTCATTGAACATTGAATTTTGGTTTGTTTGAATCAAAACTCATTCATAGCTCCCATCATACATTATGGTATGAATAAATTATGATCTGAATTGTCTTACGAATCTCCTTTTCCTAATCAAATATTCTTTGTGTCACCATTGTGGAGATTCATACACTGCATCTATATGTCTGAGTGTGCCTGAGAAAAAGTTAGAAATCATTAACTTTATATTGAACAACTTGTAACTTATACGGTTGAATCACTTTGATTCTCTAATGACCAATATTCTTTCTAATTAGAGATTAGTACTACTTAAATTCAGTGATTCAGGTCATATGATTGTGAAATAATGATTATGTTGTAACATAACTAACACTATAAATTCACATTTTCACTTTGTTCATCTGGCTGTCATAACTCATGTAAGACAGCCAAACAAAATCCAAAGTTAAACATGCTAAGGTCAACTGCCCAACTAAACCAAACACTGATCTCCATAGTGGTGACTAAAATTTGAGTTTTTTTCTTCAGTGATTCTGCTTATCATCAGGTGTCTTCAATAATGCTCAGTCATCACTCAATCAAACTTAGCACATTAACTTTAACACTCATCAGTGTTTATTTAACACTCAAATTTGAACACTTTAACACTCTTGAGTCTTTACCCTCTCATGTTTTTTCTGTGTAGTAACATTCAGGAAACTGGACATTTTTATGTTCTTGGAATGTTAGAAATCAACATCACTATCATGTTGAATTTTTAATCGAAAATTACGTTTAATGAACGTTTGAGGAACATTATACTTTTTAAAACACGTTCCTCTAACGTCAAGAAAACTGGACATTTTTCACGTTCCCAGTACCAACACTGATTATTTAGAGAACGTTCTTATTACAAAATTCTGTTAGCTGGGTTACACTTAAAGCCCTGTTTCAAGATCGATTCTGATAAAATAAAACGGTTAAGATTAAAATTTGGACACATGCTGCTGTCCCGAGAAAATTTTGGTTTCTGTGTTTGCAAAAGGTTGTAAAACCTTTTGGAAAGCATTTATTGCAGCGATTAAAAAAAAATCCAATTATGTTGACGTTACATGAACAAATTATGTTTTTTTTAATGTAACCCAGTTATGTGGAACCTGTTGACATAAAAAAGTTAATTAAAGCCAACATATGATTTTTTTTTTCATATGATGCCACAAAAAATCTGTTCTGAGATCACTTACGCATTGTCCAAAACTAACACAGGAGTCCATATTTTGTCAACTGGTAACAAAACGTATGAAGCATTAGATGTATTTTCATTCCACCTTAGATCCTGATCAATCCACTCCTATAGAGAGAAAATATACTTTCACTGAGCTAACATTTTTCCCATCAAATCATTGCAAACATTTGTTAGAAGGTCAGGATTACTGCTTTGAGAGTTTTTCGGGAACAGTTTTATTTTTTATTTTTTGGAAAAGTAACATAAAAAATGTATACTTACCATGTTTACCTTGACACGGCAGCTTATTTGCATGTTTTTCGTATCCTAAACATGGTGACAGAATTAATTTTTTTGCATGAAAATTATTACACTGAAAAAAAATTCTATTGATAACAAATAAGTTTGTCATCACATTTTGATGCTCGAACATGAAAAAAATACAAAGAAATGATAAAAACAGTCTGATACTTACAAAAGACATTGTCTCATACTGCATTGAAGTGATGGTTACATTGATGGAACAATCATTACCCTGTGGTGCGCTCTTCAATTTCTTATTAACTATCATATTTGCCAGACATCGATTGTTACATGAATCTGTCATGACTGTTAGACCAGATTAACATATTATAAACATCACTTTCTAAATCAAAAGGCATTGCAGACATCAACAAAACATTTGACAATCCTGAAAATTACACTAAAACGTCTAGAAATACGTACCAATCAGACATGAAAAGATGAAGAACAACAAAAAGATCCAGCGTTGAAGAACCATTTTTAGACACTACCAAAAAAAAAAGAAAGAAAATAACTTCTCTTATTCAAACGTCTCTTATATGCATACATATCTATAGTAGTTTAAGAAACAATAAAGAAACTGATAAACTTTACCTTTGCTGGCCAATGTGAATGTATTATTATATTCAAACATCAGCTATCACCTCTTTATATGAACAAGCATCAGTCATCTTTTAAAAGGAGCTCTTTGAATACTACGTCAGAGTACAGAAGAACAAACTAAATTGTTTTTGATATGCCAGCTCATATTAAATTTCATGCCACATTTTGTGTAAACTTTAGTTTTTGAGATTCTGATAAGCCTCTGAAAGGGCTTCAGGGCTATGAGTACAAAAGTCGTTTTCAGAGCAGCGTCAGATACTGTACCTCCAGGCCCTTCATTCTCCTCTCAGCCAAACACACCTCTGTAAAACATTGTCAAATTAATTCCAGTTCACACATACGCGGAAGCAATAAATAATTCTGTATTATACATTTTTAAGGCTATAAGTAATTTGTCGAGGTCAATTTGTAAGGAAAGACTACACACCTGAGAACTGTTTTTTTTTTTTTTAAATTTCAAGGCCTGCTCCTTGAAACCTATGTCAAGGTCTGTGTTTTCGAGCCACCAAAACTGTGGTTGTGCTGATGAACGGCCAGAACACATTACGGGTTTTCTGTTAGAACAATGTCGTGGCAACTAAGTTAATAACTAATGATCTTTCCAATGGAAGTGATCAATCAAAACTAACTTTAACTGGACAATAACTTTATTCAAGAGCTAATGTAGAGCCAAACAATCTCTGTTACTTTAATTTCCTATTATCACTGTAAAGTTGCTTTGAAACATATTGTTAAAAGTGCTATATAAATGAAGTTGACTTGACTGAAAGAAAACTCATTCAGAAGAGTCTTTAAAGGTGCATTGCGCAACATTTCCTGTTAAAAATAGCCGTTTTCTAACCCATACATGCTTAAACAACCGCCTGATGAGCTGAATGACCCCTTCTCTGATCACTGCGACCGTCTCTATAATCCTGTACAGTTAAATATATAAGAGGGATTCGGGCTCGAATCTGAGACTGGGCGTGACGTCATGCGTGTTCACGCTCGCCTGGCTATGTCTGGCAGGTTCGTGTAGCTATTCGCCGCCGTATCAGAGAAGACAACTCGAGCGACACAACTCTAGTCAGCTTTCCACAAAAGTAGACGATGGGTTCAAAGGGGCTGGTCACTTCATGCGTTTTCTGTGATCGGATAGCTATTCGATCGTGAAAAGACCAGGGTATAAATGCCCTCCGAAACGCATTCGAGACGGATTTGAATCCGATCGCTCATGAGGACGTGGTCTGGCCCGCATTCCAGACGAAACTGGACAAGTGTAAATGCATCTGGTTGTTGAAACCAAGCTATATGTCATGTTATTTTAGTCATATATGACGACGCGCATCACCTCAGATGAGCAGCTGAGCTGAGCCCCTTCATCAAGCCAACATGCCGCAATCTATCGCAAATCAAAGTGAAAGTAAGTCGCAGACGCTTAACACTACCATCTTCATTAAAGGTGCCATATGTAATAATTGACGTAAAAATATACCGAAAATTAGCTACACGCATCAAAGAATGAGAAGAAATAAGTGCAATGATGTCAAAAATTGACAAGTTATTGTGCTGCCGAGATATAAACCTAAATTAGCATGCTAAATTACTAGCCCCGGCCCGTCAGGTGTTGTAATTTGGGCCATGGGAGGCGGTATGTAGGCGGGCAACATTACCATCAGCCAAACTGCAGTACACGAGTAACTCGCGCGGCTTGTGTGTGTACTTGAACCTGATGTCAGTCGTGTGGAAATACAGCCCACTACTACATTTCAGTTCAGGGTAGAGTTCAAAAAATGATTGGTCGATATTATGCATGAGGAATACATTCTGGTAAGTTGTAGCATACTGTATCTTTCAACAGTGTTTGTGTTCTTTTTCCATTAGCTAGTAGAGATGATCGGTTCACGTGCGCTAGGGATCTGTGGTGTAACATGTACAAGCGCCAAAACGGTATTTATTGTTTGAATTGCGTAAAAAATTTGACAGAATCTGAGAGCTTAACTAACCTGCTTGCTAAGTGTCAATAGCGTGTGTCTCACGGTGAATTCGTGAGAGTTGTCAGCTCTGAATGGCGCTAGCTTGGTCAACATCAGCAAATGCTGTCTGTCTAATTAATTCAAACTAACAATAAAAGTGTAATATGAACAAAACGAATACCGTAAACTTAAAATAATAGCCCAGGGTTTTATTTTCCCATATCCTCGAAATGCAATGCTTGTGTTTTATACAGGCGTCTATGTGACGGTCTTCATCATTTAGTGTTGAGATGTTGTCCATTGAGTCTCTAATCTCTAAAAATCTCCAAATGCTCCATGTGAAACTGCGGAAAGAGACCGGCTTGTAGTTTATTACAAACCCCAACGCAAACTCCACGTGAGACAAAGAAAATAAAACTTCTGTCTGTCCAGTGCCAGGCGTCGGAATAAGACAAGAGTCAACATCGGGGAGGCTTTCAACAAACGGAGAGATCTCCGGTCTGCTCTAGCAACATGACATCATGACTTTTGCGTAAACATATACGCCACTTTCGAGTCAGGTGGCGTGTTATCTCCACGCATTTTGAGCTATCCGCGTGTATCCGCGTGTATGCGTATATGTCTACGCCATTAACGTCCGCGTCATTCCGCGTGTCTGAACACGCAGTCAAATCTCCAGTCATAAATGCCATTAACCCCAGTGACGGTTAAGTTTAGGGATGGGGTTGAGGTAAGTCATATCTTTTTTTTACCTAGGATGGTAAGGGAACAGTCATAAATGCCATTAACCCCAGTGACGGTTAAGTTTAGGGATGGGGTTGAGGTAAGTCATATATTTATATAACGTTAAGTCAACGGCGTTCATAAACACGCTGAAAGGCGATTATGCGTCTTGATAGCACGCCAAAAATGGAAATACGAATTGGCGTGTCATACACACGCTACTTCATGAGATCAGTCTGGCTCTAGGGCTCAAACGGGTCCTATACAAAGTGATAACTGAACGTGTTTCCATAATAATTCAATCTATGTTACATAGATTGCACAGATGCAGAATCTTATATTTTCAATTCACACATAATCAGTAGCTCTACAGGAATTAATGCAGGACAATTGAGCAGTACACAGCAAAATCCCCAGTGTTAAATCAACACTGCTCGGAGCAAATACGGTCCCACTCTACATGGTGTTAAAATTACAATGAAGCATTGTTAAAGTTATTTAGATTATTAAGTGATTAATTAAGTGTTGATTGATCATTAGTGATGAACACCTGCTGTTGACAAGCAGAATCACTGAAGGAAAGAGAAACACAAGAACTACAACTGACTAGTCACAGTCTTAGATTAAATCAACTGAAGAGACCAATAAGACATTACATCTCTAAGATATCAACAGAGAAGGACATCTCCACAAACAGCATTACCAGCTCCACTTATTACTAACCAGACTGACTTTACTTCGGCCAAACGTCTACAGAAGTTATTATTGAGAATTAACAGAGGTTTAGATGTCGATGTTTTAGTCACCATATGAAAATCACCATTATGGTGAACAGTGTTGTCGTTAGTTGGGGAATTTGATTCTTATTATTTTATGTGAATTCATAGTCCTTGAAGCATTGTTTATCAAAACACACAAAAGTTGCAAATGTGATAGGCCTATAGTTTTCAACATCATAAAGTACAAAAATTCACAAATTTGATCATTTATTGATAATGGTTATTTGGTATTAATAGATTGTTTTCAATGACATTAATTTCTTTCTACGGATCAGTCATCAAGCTAAATTTTTATTTTTTTTATTGGGAAAGTAATCTTTGGATAAACACAAAGACATTAAGAATCCCCATGTGAATTTCAACAATGGTGACATGCTTTATGCCGCAAAGCATTCTGGGAGGCACCATAGTATAAAAAGCTTGGTTCCCAGCATGCATTGTAGCATGAAGCATGTCACCATTGTTGAGACTCATACACTGATTCTTGATGTCTTTTTCTTTAAATTAATGATTTTCTGAAATATTCTGCAATGTATATAAAATATTTTAATTCAAGATGTCTGCTTTGTGTCAAAAAAGTGATAGATATTAATAACATAACAATCTTTGTCAGGGATAAGATCAGCGAATCACTCATCTTTATAATAATAAAAACTATAACACTTGAACATCTCATATTTTTGGCTTCCTTTGTAACACATTATGTGCTTTGGTAAACATTGTAACAAAGACCAAAACGTCTCTGGTTACACATGTAACCTTAGTTCCCTGAAGGGAACGAGATGCTGTGTGTAACCGCTATGGGAACGCCCCTGCGTGATGAGTCATGAAGCACGTATGAAATCAGTCCAATGGCGAGACAGAACGTCATAGGCAGGGTGACGTATCGACCAAGAAACTATAAAGCACCCTAGAAACACAAGCGCGACAGCTTCTGATAAGACTGAAGCAAGTGCTCACGGGCATGCTGGGAGTATGGCATGGACACGCAG